TGCGTCTTTTGCTGCGTCGCTGCTCACTCTGTCTGTGTGTTGCAGGGCGGGAGAGGTTTACCTGGACCGAGCGGACCTCAGGGAGTCCAGGGATGCTCGGGAATCAGAGGACAGAAGGTAGAGCAGTGCCGCTGAAATGTCCCGGAGCAGATCTGCCAGAAGCCGATGTTGATGATGTGTGTGCGTTTGTGTGTTTGCAGGGCTTCAGAGGGCTGCGAGGAGAAAGGGTGAGTTACTCAGGAATGTAGGAGGAAGCACAAACACTCACATCCTGATAAAGTCTCACAGAAGACTTTTCTTCCACCGCCGCAGGGCGAAGACGGAGAGGACGGGCTGAGCGGAGTGGACGGAGAACAGGTACTGACGTACAGATAGCAGATAGCACAGCTTCATCCTGATCGCCTTCATCGTCAGGTATCTCTGTGATCTGTAGCGTGAGATATCGCGATGCATAAACAGGAAGGATGATGACAGATAATGGGAAACCTGAGTCACACCAACGACCGAATCACCACATTTCTGCTTCCTTTGTTTATTTTCCCAATAAACTGGTAACTAAACATTACTGAATAATTATTTTAACATCAATGAAATATTTAATAAACCTTTGATAAATTATTATGTTGTGTCATAGCTGCTGGTGGCTCAGCGTCCTATGTTAACCCAAAGTAAAAGGTTCATATGAGCAAAATCACACCATCGTTTATGTGTTATCAACACCGCTACGTTTCCTTTAGTCTTTCATCCACTCAGCAAGATAAGTGCCAGACCCCGGGCTTTTAATTTGAAAGTTCCATTTCTGCTAACCATCACGCTGGTCGTCGATGCCAACGGCTGCCTCTGCAGAGACTCTGGTGTCCAGCTCAAATTCAAATGTTATTTGTCGCATGCACAGTCATACACAGTCCGATATGCAGTGAAATGCTGAACTGTTGGGCTGCAGCTGGTGTTGGTGGTCCAGGTCCGGCAGCACTGGGAGAGCTGGTTCCTGAGCTCAGGACTACCAGCTGCAGTCCATCCACAGCTGCTGACTGCTCTCATATGTCAGCACTGAGTCAGGGTAGTTTCACTCTCCGCTCGGCTGCCATCACAAACATCATTTATCTGAGGCAGATCCCTCTTTTTCCAAAGTCTTCCTTTGTTCCCCGGCAGCTGCAAACATCCTGATAACGCTGCAGCGCAGATGAAGTCGGCGAGCTCTCACACAGACGTCACAGCTCTCTGAAACGGCCCTCGGCCATTCAAAGGTCAGAGGCAGTGAACACGGAGAGTACAACACCCGGCATGTCGGCGCGCTGCTTTTCCTGCCTCGACGGTCAACTTTCATTTTCATCATGCATCAAATGTTGATCATATTACTGCCACCATAAAAAATTATTAGTAAACAGCCCGAAGAGTCAGTGACAACCAGAGATGGGCAGTAACGCGTTACTGTAATCTGATTACTTTTTTCCAAGTAACGAGTAAAGTAAGGGATTACTATTGCAAAAACGGTAATTAGATTACCGTTACTTTCCCGTAGGAACGCTGCGTTACTGCGTTACTAAAACCGTGATTTTTTGGCGAGAATGTCTCATGACAGTGACGTAAGCGAGTGCGACGTTCGTGACAACAGCTGTGTGCAGATCAACAATGGATCACATATCGAGTGCAGAGAGAGTATGAGCGTGCAGCGTTTAAAGCGTGGAAGTACTGACCTTACTTTGAGTTTGATTCCATAAAAAGTGACAAAAACATGAGTGTCCGCTGTGCGTGGGAAGAAAACTTCTTTTTACAGCGAAAAAACCCCTAAACTTCCAACAAGCACCGAGTAGCTACGACGTAATGGGAAACTCACAGAGAAACTCGCGGATTCTTCCACTGACCGCGGCACACCTGCACCAGGGTAACCCTCCGCCTGCCCCACTCCTGCTTTACAGGTGAAAATAGAGCAACAGGACCGCTGAGTCTTTGACTTTATTTATTTTCTGCTGTGTTTTACTTGCATCTATTTGAAAGACTGAGTGTAAACACAAAAAATATTTTATTTTATGTGCTGGAATGTGCAGAAAATAGGTTTAAATGTTAAACTAATTTCTTCCAGTCAGAGAATGTTGCAGATAATTAAATGTTTGCTTGATGCATAAAGTTAAAAGATTAAAACTAATAAAACAAGTTTTAAAAAGAGACTTTTCCATTTGATTACATTTTGTATGATGGATTATGCAGAAAAAGTAGAATTGGGCTGAAAGATCTATCGCTTTATCACCTCTTCAGGTTGTAAATCGTGTTTTTAAAAAGTAACTAAGTAATCAGTAATTAGTAACTGATTACTTTTTTCAAGTAACTTGACCAACACTGGTGACAATGATCCAAAGGTTCAGATTTGACTCACTGATGGAGAGACGCCGATGAGTTTCTGTCCTCATCGTGGAGGAAACGAGCGGGCGTCTCAGGAAGGGAGCTGATTGGGGGGGTTTCCATGCTTAATGGCATTCCTGTGTTTCTGTGTCGGCAGGGAGTGACGGGACGGGATGGAGCCCGAGGAGAGAGAGGACACCTCGGCAACCCGGTAAAAGAAAACAAAAACTATATAATGTTATTTTAACATCGATACTTTATACTGCAATTTTCAAATGAATTCTGAATTTCACTGAGTCAGAGAAGGGAACCAAGAATGAGGCAGCGGTTTGGTTTGCACCGTTGGAGGTTGTTTGGACAAAAACACAGGCACATTTAAAAGTGACTCACAGGGATAAAGGTGGGAGAAAAAGTGTGAACTAAAAGGTATTTTACATGATTGGATGACAAATTTCAAATACTGCACACTTCAAATGTTTGTTCACGTAACGACCGACCTCCTTAAAGAAACCGTCAGAGCCGAACACGAGAACCTCGGGACCGAGCTGGAGGAAAGGAGAGAGCAGATAGCAGATAGCAGCTAGCCCGCGGCTAACACGTGTGATGCAAACAGACCCGGACTGAGCCCTGAGGGATGCCTTAGCACGAGGACGTACAGATGTTAGCATCAGTTCTGAAACATCTGTCAGTTTAAGATGAGAGGCTCCTGAGAGCAGCCAGATCAGTTAGTGAGAGTGTGACAATCAAAGGGGTCAAAGGTTGCTGAGCTACAACCGCCTGTATCATGTCGTTAGTGAGTTTCAGTAAAGCCGTCTCGGTGTC